TCAGTTAATCCCTTATTTTCATTTTCATATATTGTCTAACTATACTGGATTAGCTAATCCATTTTTACTGATCCGGATCAGTGATGCCCATGGAAACGTGGTCATATTCTGCTTTTTTTCATTCAGAAACGTATATGTAAAAAAATAAAAAATACAATTTCTGAGTTTTTATATTTATAATTTTCAAAATATTCAACATTTCGAAAGTCCGAAATCAGTTTGGTAGCCCTGTAGAGTCCACCCATGCAAAAAAAAGGATCTAGCTTAACCCTCAAGGCGGTGGGGGGGGGGGGCATTTTTTGCATCCATCTTTAGTTTTTTTTTTTGATATATCTCCAGAACCGCTGCGCCGATCTTCACCAAACTTTCAGTACCCTTTTGCACATTGTGACCAAATTTTTTTTCCAAAGGCTATGATAAGTTGGCCGCTACGTCGGAGTGACGTCATTTCTGCCATTGTCGACCAAAAAAAAAAGCTTCGCGGGAAGAGCTGTCAGGTCTATAAATTTGATTATGCATAAAAATGTTCAAGACATGAAATGTGTAGAATTACCAGGGCTACTATACTGTTCTCTCGATTTTGTTTTTGAAGTTGACCCCAAAAATAAAAAGAAATAGATATAATAGCCAAAAAATCCCAAAAGTTTTTCGATTTTCGAAACAAACGGAATATATGTAATAGCCACTATGGACTTCTATTCACATTCCAAGTATTAGATCGATAACTCCTTTTTGCCAAGTTATAACAAAAAAAAAAAACTGTTCAAAATTAATGACGTCAAATTTTCAAACTCGATTTTGGCAATTCTAGACCACAAAGCGCAAAACAAAGACCACCATTAGACTCGCCGTGACGAGTGGCATCGAATCAATACCAATTTTATGCGAAACTATCAACTTTGACCTGAAATTTGACCTTTTTGACCTGACATTGACCTGACCTCCACCAGAAAGTGACCAAAAAACCGTCCCTGATGGTCTTATAACCAACACCATTGAGGCGAATATGAAAAATTGGCCATAAAACATGCATCGCACAACCCTACTTAGTAAAGATAGGTTCATGTGCTGACCCTTGGTGATCGGACCTGGTATTATCAGTGACCTCCAATAGCAACATATGCTCGTATAATAGGCAACTCACGCCCTATCGCTGATTTTTGACAAAATGCCCTTTACTCGATGTTGCAGCGCATTCCTTAAAAGACCCGTGAACGGTGAAACATTTTATCTTTGACATGGCCTGTGATGTCATCGGTGACCCCGAGGTCAATGAAATTGAAGTTCCCTCGACAAATTTAACAAGGCTATCGAACGCCATTTAAATTTTACCGATCCGTCATAGTAGCTTCGGAGATTCGGGGGGGGGGGGGTCAAAAATCCCCCCCCCTCCCACCGCGCGGAAGGTAGCCGGGAGGCCCACCGCTTGCCGGGTTAAAACTCAGATCTTGAGAGCGATTACCGTTGTTCAATGCTTTGCATCAAAATCGGCCGAACATGATGTCACTCTGGCGTCATTTCCGGCCGATCTATAGTAGCTACGAAAATTTTATTAGTGCACAAGGTGTCAAATAAATTGATGCAGCCGAAGGTCCTAAAAGCTTTGTTTTGATACGTCCAGCGGTTTTAAAGATATTGCGTAAACACGAGAGGGGCTATGAATAGCCCTCCCCACAGTAGGGTGGGGGTTAACCCTCGCCCGTATTGGTGTTTTTCCAGCCACGAACGTTTAAGGGGGGGTCCGTTGAACCCCCTCCTTGCCGTTTCGCCCCTGATTGAGCTAGAGCTTCGCGGAAAAAACGAGCGTGCTGCCCGTGACGAGAGAAAGCCGATGGTACCCAATTTTATCCTAGGTCGTCGGTCCTAGGTCATCGGTTGACCTTCCAGGTCAGGTCAATGACCCAAAAGTGGGGAAAACTGGGACCTGTTAGAACGTCGTAAAACGTGGCTGCTATTGGGTTTTTTAGGGAACTGATCACGAATATCATGTTAGCTATGATCATAGATGATGTCTTCATGCATTTAGGCCAGGTCGGGTCAGGTCAGGTCAGGTCAACCAGTAAGGGTTTTGCCGGGTATTCGTAGTAGGTGCACTAGGTGGCAACCGCCTCTGACAGCTTCGTAACATGTTACGAAGGCACCAAAACTACTTCGTAAATGTTCATATATGGTTGTTAAATTCGAAATCAGCTAAAAAAACTAGCCTAGAAAGATGCTGATAAAACTCGAAAAAGTAAACCGAGGTCATCAAAGGTCAATGAACTGACCTGACCTTCTGGTGACCTTGACATCCACCCTAATGCATGGGAGCAGCATCATATCCCATGTTTGAACGCTTGAAACCACGAAAGGACTGCAAACGCGCGGCAAATGCGAGCCGACATACGCCGAATCGCGATTCCGGCCAAACATGGTCTCGAAAAGTAGGTCACAGGTCAAAGGTCATTAGTCAGGGCCATTACATTTTTTAGGGTAGGTGTAAAATTGATTATAACTCGAGGGTACTGAAAGCTTCGTTGCGGTCGGCCGCTTTTTACGCGAGGTATTCGCGAAAAACCGAGGGGGAGTCCGTTCGACCCCCCCCCCCTATACGGGGGAGGGTTAGGAGGGTTAACAAGCCAAAACGTTGCTAATTTTTATTTTGATCTGACCTGTGACGTCAACGGTGATCTCGAGGTCAATAAAATTAGGTTTTGCTCGACAGTTTTTCCAGGGCTATCAGACGCCGTTTCAGTTTTGACAATCGGCCCAGTAGTTTCGGAGTTGGAGCGGGGGGGGGGTTCTATAAATAGCCCCCGCCTCCCCCAGTGGAGTGCGTTACAGAACATACCCCAGTGGGGCGCTGGTTAAGAGTAGAATTTTTGAATTATTGCCAACACTCAACACTGCACCTCATGGCAATTAATTCATTATAGGGCATTTTACCTGAACCAGCCTCTGGCCTAATGTCCCAAATTTGCTAAATTCCTCACCCTACAAATCCCCTGTTCTATTAGATGCTGCCATTTTTTTAAAACAACTTATCTTAAATCCTTGTTTCATCAAACTGGGAGCTAGGTCACGGGACACTGCGAGTCAAGGTGGGAGGGGTAGGAGATAGAGTGTCACTGCAGCACACACAATCAATCTTTCCATTGGTTTATCTTATATCAATGCCTGCTCTTTTCCAGAGCTGGCTTTCGAAGTTCGAACCTTCGGTATATGGCTACCAATGCCCTTGGAGAAGGTGTTGCGTGATAAATCGCTGGAAGGGCGACATTCAACGATTGTGTGAAAAGAGACCGATTGCATTGTGATGATAAAGTGAACTGTAATAATTGTTGTTCATGCGCGTTGTTTGGTTATGTGCAGACGTAACTTTGTTTGTGGCCAAATGCTTTTTATGTGTGAAATATTTCATGTAGGTTACTAGGTAGATGCTTTGGAAAAGTGAAGAGCTGCTTTGTCGACTGCTAGGTAGATACTGTCATGCATGCTGTTGTGCATCAGTAAGTGGCTGTCGTAATGATAAACAAATTTGGCATGGATAGGCTAAAGCACAGCATATGAAGCATGCTGGTTGATGACTAGTAAGATCCTGTTAACCGACTGGTAATATCACAATAAATGTCACATAGTAAACTATTGTTTTACGATGGTTGGCCAGCAAAGCAAAGCTGGTATCCAGATGACAAAAGGATGGTTTTACCATGATAAGTCATTAGTAAGCATTACCAGGGAGTAGCTAACGATAGTAAAGTCCTAGTTTCGTGCTAGTATCACGTGGGTTTTTGGGCATGGTATGACGACATATAGTTACCGTGTTAATACCATGGTAATTTTTACTGGCATTGGTATTCACATGGTTTTACATTCATATTAGGCCTAGTATTTGGGTCGTAAGTTAGTTTACCATAGGTAAGAGGCTGTTCAAAATATGACCACCACTCGAAAACTAACTAGGGTGGTATTTTTCTTAGTAGGCGGTACCAGGATAATACTAGCGTTAGTAGAGCTTTGGTTTCTTATTAGTTATGCTTTAGTTTCAAGGTAGTATGATGAAAAAATATTACCGTACTAAGACCATGGTATTTTGATGAGCATTGGTAGTTGCATAGTATTCCTTTGATATTGGGCCTAGTATTTGGATCGTAAACTGGTTTACCATAAGTAAAAGGCTGTTCAAAATATGACCACCACCCAAAAACTAACTAGGGTGGTATTTTTTTCTTTCAGTGAACCCGAAATGCCTGGCGACGCCTGCTGTAGCTACCTATACCTAGACGTGCTCATGTACGTGCAGGGGCAAGCGTCTGAGCGTTAAGATCTGACTTTCACTTTTCTGGCAATAGTTTAGTCTCCACAGGGCAAAAAATATGCAAAGTTGATTTTTAACGCCTTCCGTGCGCTAAATTTTTATACAAAACGACTTTGATACCTATCTACATCGACTTTTCATACGAAATCGATTTTACCGGCATCGTGCTTCTCACTCTCGTCAACATTCACGCCGGTCGAATAAGCTTTCTTCTAATAATTGTCAACTTAAATATTTGACATGAGGTCAATGTCATGGCTAGTCTAGTAGGCAAGTACTAGGCAAGCAGTAAACTTGTTGATAAAATCAGCCAAAACGGAGTCGGAATTTTGAATGTTCGGTTTAGTTTGCACGTAGGTTATAGGAACAAAGGCTTTTGAGACGAAACTACTAGGATGATATAGTTTGATACAGCACTTAAGCCTTAATACAGCACAATTTATGTCTGACAGAGTACAGACTTATATATACAGGCAATGCATGATCATGCAATTTTACCCTGTTTAAGAACAAATTTATTTAGTGGTGGTGTTCCGGCTTCCCGCGTTACGAACCGAAAACCTGCGCCGCATTTCTAGCTTAATTTGTTCTCTGAAAAGGTTTGTGCTAGTGCAAACAGAAAGTCGGACATTTTAGCCACTTGTGAGCCGAATCGCGTATAGGAGCATGTGCCTTCTTCAGTGATTTATCATACACATGTTTCGCCGGCGATAAACAAAGCCAAAAAAGACGCCAAAATAGTTAGTCCCGACGCTAGGATATCATTGGAGCGTTTTTTTTTTTAACCATCGCCCAGTGACTGAAGAATATTAAAGCTGATCATGGGCAATTTGCGGAACTGCTAATTTTTGTGTACAACCTGTGGGTTTTCTTGCAAACACAAGCTACAGGTAATGAGGATTGCCAAATCAATAATTCGATGAGTGGTGAATGAAATTAAGTCTAGTAATATGAATAAGTGGAAAGTTTGATCCATTCCACCAATGCTGCATTGACTTAAAAAATTTCCTTTAATTTAAAAACGTGTTTTTTGGTTAGGAGAAGTGCAAGAAATCAAAATGGTGTCGGTAAAGCTGGTGTCACCGTCGCCGCTAACCGGTAAATGTGTAGATGAAGTTAGTTAGAGTAAAAACATAATCTAACCTGACCTTACCTTAGCTAACCAACCTGCAACCTACCAACCTACACACCTAAAACCTACCTTTAGGGTAGGTTGTACCGTTGTAGGTAAGGTTAGGTGAGGAAAAGTTAGGTGTGTTTTGGTCTACGTCTTGTCGTCTCAATCTGGCATCTTCCAGCCTGGGACACCAGGCTTACTTAATACCTAACCAGTAACCTACCTACCTACCGGCTGCCGCTGACGCCTGACGGTGACACCAGTTAACTGATGCCTGAGAAATCATCTTTATAATGAGGATACTGTTTTTAAAATTAATCATGTAAGGAGTGATTGAACTTTTATGTTTAGTTGAGTTTTGTTAGCTTGGGTTTGGTTGGTTTATATCAGGTTAGGTTAAGTTTTTAATTAGGTTAAGTTCTAAATCAGGTTAGTTAAGTTTTTGTTATGTTAGGCTAGCAATTTTAGCATTTTTCACCTGGGTTCAGGTTTTGGTACCTTTTGTGTCTGGCCAAGAAATTCAAACCACATTCCTTTCTGATTTTCACACTTTATTCACATATCTTTCTGATTTGTGCTCAGTTTATGTGGAAATTGTGCCTACCAAAATGAGCATACTATTATGATGTCACTTGATGCAGCTGTCACCAAATGTTATGATGATGGCACAATGTGTCCACAACTCTTAGGAATGCTTCACTTTTTCAGTGTCAACAACATCATAATTGAGTAAGTAAGCAGTTCCGTGCATTGTAATTATGCATTAAATGTACCTAGTGCAGGATACACACTCACAGCATGACTGTTCTTATATTCAGATCCAAAATAGGTATATGGAATTAATCAGGATTAATTCTTATGTTTCAGTTAAATGATATTCAATTTTCTCAGGCTCAGCTTTTGCTACTTTGTGCTGTTTTTTGCTGGTTAAACCATATGATTAGTCGAAACTTGTACTCAGAGCCAAACTACTTAAGGAAAAAATGGACTGTTCACCTGTTGGCTGTTGTACCCTGAAAAGGTGTCTTAGGATTGCCATCTCTATACTAGCTGGCAGGACATGGGTGGAAGTCCACTAACATCCATGCATGAGGCATGCAGTACAAAGCTATGCTGCATGGTCCTGAACATGCGGCATATAGAAATTCTCAAAGAAAGCTGTTCCAGGCTATGGAACTATCAATGGCTTTGTATTGAAATAGCTTTGAAATATCATTGGGTTCTGAATGGAATACCATTGCTTCAGTAATATAAGCATTTCCTACCACTGAACTCTGAAGCAAAAGGTACATGTCGAGATGGATGGCAATAGGTGCTTCTCCTTTAGTCTGTTGCCTACCACACAGGGTCAGTCACCACCAGACACCTGCCTCTCTGGTTCTCAGGAACCTGCCCCGGTGCCTCTCAGGATGCCGAAGAGGAAGCGCCTGAGCAGCAGCCACGACGACGACGAGGAGTCTGTGACATCAGAGTCGAGCTCGGCGGCCCCCAGCGCGGCCGGCATCGGCACCCGCAAACGGCGCCGCTGTGGCACCGTCTCGGTAGGTCTGAGGAACGGGGTAAATGTCGGTCCCTGTGTAACTCACGGCACCCGCAAACGGCGCCGCTGTGGCACTGTCTCGGTAGGTCTGAGGAACGGGGTAAATGTCGGTCCCTGTGTGACTCACGGCACCCGCAAACTGCACCGCTGTGTCATCGTATCCGTACTTCGAGAGCTGTAGGATCGTTCTTGCTATGATGGGTAGATGGTCTATAAACAAATGGTGCGGTTAAGTGAAACGATAGAGGGTCATCATGCTCGCGAAAAGTGGTGAGATATAGGGGATTCTTCATGGCTCCGAGTGGAAGATATGTAAGGATATCTTTTCCAAGCGGGTTACTGAAAAACCGAGCGACGAAGGAGCGAGGTTTTTCTGTAACACGCGAGGAAAAGATATCCGATCTTCCACGAGTGAGCCATGAATAATCCTATATCTTTCTATGTTGAGGTTTATTCTTAATTAATAAAATATTATATTTAAATGCATTCATCTATGTAAAAATAGATTCAGAGTACTTTGTTCTTATTTGATAAGTTTCATCCATAAACAATGTCGTTCGGTTATTGGCCATCATCACTTGAACTCTTGATTTTTCGCTATGAACCCTCGAGACCTTATCTTTGCATCTCAGAGGGGTGCAGAGATAACAAATTCTTATCTTTGCATTTCAGAGGAGTGCGAGATAGAAATATCCCTGCACTGTAGACCCAATGGCAAATAAACCTCAACTAGAAAGATAAATTATCCTTCCCACCCTCACATGGGCACTGCTGCTTTCTAATATTCACATGGACAACGCAAAACATTTCACAGTTAGCAGACACGGAATGTGGTACCAACATTGCTCCGAACTACGAACAACTGCCGTGTCACTTTGGTGATCTATGGCCATGTGGTCTGGTCCAACTCCGAGCCTCATTCAGTCTCCGTCACAGCGTGACATTTTAACCGTCCCGTTCGGTGTTTGCACCGATGTTCATTTAAATAACCCACATATTCATGATCGATGGTTCGGTCTCACGGCTGGCATTTTGCATTTTTTCTGTTTTGTTGCCTTGCAGTTCTGTCTGACCAGTATAACATAGCATGTACTATATATAGTCCGCCACTGGACGATGCTTTTCGTTCTTCAGCTGGAATCTGCAGCGGTCTCTCTTATATCGCCATTCATCTATCATTCCGTCTCCCGCCCTCACCCCGTCCGTTTCTCTGAGCACCACACGGCCTTGCTGACCGATCCATCCATCCTCCCACGGTGCCGCCCGTAACCCGTCTGCCTTGCCCGTCCGTTACACCCCGCAGTCGCGGCTGGATTTCCCTGATTGACGCCGAAAAATGCACGCTGTGGAGCGGTCTGCGGCCGTAGGACGGTGTCCTGGCCGGTTTCACTCTCTGCAGCGTGTGTACAATGGTCTCGGGCGTCCACGCCGAGAGAGCGGTGGCCCCGAGCCGTTCCCGGAGACGACTTTTGCGTCGGCCCGTTTGAGAGATGCATCTCGGGGCGGATTTGGCGGCTGTGTTTTGCCCGGCGGTGGGCCATTGTTACTCTGTTTGTGGGATGCCGCACAGACAGCTGATCATGTCTGTATGTCTGCACGAATGGGTTCCACGCTGGTCAGTCACCGCACCATCCCGGGTAGACTGTACGCTGATGTGTGGTGATGTTTGATGTCGGTGACGTCCGCTGATGTTTGCGAAATCCGTTGACTGGATGATGTGTATGATAAATAAGTAGCGAGTGGTGTTGGCACGCTTCATGATTGCGGTAGTTGTGATTTAGGGTCACTGAACGGTGAACGCTGTCACACTGCGCTGCTCTTGTCTCTCGTACACCAATGAATGAATGGTCGGGAATAGTGAACTCGGTGATCCAGAAAGAGTTGGGCTAGATTGTGATTTAGCGATAGGTTTATTGAGATTTAAGTGAAGCCTTATTTTTATAGGTAGCGAATGCCACTGTGTACTACATGATTTACACGGGGAGTGACAACAGGGTCTTAATAAAAAAAAAAAATGAACCAGTAATAGCCGAAACCAGGAGCGTTGACCCTGTTTGGCTCCTTTATCGCTCGTTATGTGATTCTGGCGATCATTTTATCGTTTTTGGAATGGAATGTTTGGAATGTCGTTTTTGGAACGTTTGTGAAACGCTGCTTATCGTTTAGCGTACATATGTTATTGAATAGCTCTTTTCGCCTGATATGCTGTCTGCTGACCAGTCTCCGTATCTGTGGCCGTGATTGCAGCAGGAGCAGCTGAAGCAGCTACTGGAGGCCGTCCTGAACCACAAGCGGGCCGATGGGTCGTTTGTGTCCGAGACGTTCTACCGGCTGCCCAAGAGGCGACTCAACCCCGACTACTTTGAGGTGAGCAACGGAGCAGGCACATACGGCGTGAAGATGAATGCAGCTAGACAAAATATAGTACTTTATGTAGATATTCCATGTAGTTAGCGGGAGGATGATTAACACTTTTTGTTATGTATTTTATTTACTTTTGAAGTAAGGCCTTTTCCTAAACGGTTTTACGAACTCAAAAGAACAATATCGTCCATCGATCATATTTAATCCCTTATGCGAGTCGGATGATGTTGCATCTCATCTGCCACACCCATGCCCCATCTCTTTGTAATTTCCCTTGAACAATCATATGAGGATATGTGAATGACGCTTACATTAGTTTTGGCATGTCCGGAATAGTCATCTTGTCTGAAATCTTTCTACTTAGCGGTGTCGAGAAAGCTCGACAGCCAGCACACCCCTTTAATCCCGTTGCGAGGTATGCTTTTGTTACCATGTCACGATCTCCGCCGCTCGAAGTCCCGTATCGTCTGCCCTGAGCATGGGTTCACCAGGCCTGAATCGTTTCACAGACGGTTCAGAATCCGATCGACTTTGCCAAGATCCAGGTGAACCTGAACACGCACCAGTACGATGATCTCAGTCAGCTGGCGTCTGACATTGAGCTGCTGGTGGAGAACGCCAAACAGTACTACCCGGTGAGCCGCGGAGGGATGGGGCGCTGTGTGTGCACTCATATGGTCGTTTACTGTCAGAGAGATATTGATACGGTATCATCCGTATCATCGCTGGCAAAGATGATACGGTATGAGTTGTGCTGGAAACGACGATCTCTTGTAAGTCAGACCCGGCTCAGTGTGTTCTTCCTTGACTTCAAGTCATCACTGCCATGTGAGAGCCGTTGTGAGATGTCTATTATCTTACATTTTCCGTTTCGTAATTGACCCGCCTTTCTACTCCTTCATAGCGCTCCAGTCGGGAGAACACGGACCGTGTTGTGACCCCGTCCCCTACCTCTCCCTCAGCGCTCCAGTCGGGAGTACACGGATGCCGTGGCGCTGTGGAATGCCTTCAACGAGCACCGCGCCGCCATCGTGCCAGAAGAGGCACTCTCGGAAAAGAAAGACGACGAGAAGCCTGAGAAGATCACACTGCGGATCGGCAGAATGGTGAGTCTGCATTTGAAACTCGCACACAAAATTGAATCAACAACACTGTTGGAACGCATACATATGCAAACGGCAAGCTTGAGGTGTTCCACATTTAATATGTGTTCTGTGTGATGAATGGTTAAAATTTAGTTGTTTGAGAATGAGACCGATACATTTTTAGTTTTTTAGTTACAGCTGACAACTATTTATTGCGAATATTGTCACAACATTATGGCAATTATATTGAACGATGAGCGACAGCTTCTCCGCTTCCGAGACATTGTTAACACACGAGGTAGATGTGGCGGCGAGAGACTGCTGAGATAACAATACGGATGGATTATACACATGTTGGACGTGAGTATTTAACGGACCACGCTAAGATATCACTGAATTGCCAGACCAGTGTTAAATGAAGATGGCTGTCCTTCCACCACTGGCTTTGCGATGAAACACTGACAGAGAACAGATCACGTGAACACGGACACACCTCCCTATCACACAAACTCTTCTTACGAGCCCCGGCAGTTTACTGGGCCTGCTCTTTGGCCGGGTACAGGTCCACGATCTTCCCTCCCTCGGGCCGCACGGCTCGCCTGTGCACGGTCATGGCGCTGGTGATGCCCAAGGACACGGCCAGCGTCACGCCAAACACCACCGACATGGTGATGACGTCCACGAACGTGTTGGTCGGCACGCCGTACAGCTGCACCACCAGCTCCAGCTCCCGGCGGCAGAACGTGCTGCCGTCCACGCCGGCGTTAGAGAAGCGCAGCCGCACGAACGGCAGGCAGGCGCTGTACTGGCCGCAGTGCCACTTGATGCCGTTCAGCAGCGGGTGCGGGAACACCGGACTGTCGAGCAGCTCGTCCGGGATGTTGACGTTCTCGTCGCTGACGGACGGCGCCCAGATGCGGTCGACCAGGCTGCGCCGCCGCTCGGCGCTGTCGAAGCGTATGGCGTCGGGTCGGTAGCCGGAGCCCAGCACGGTCATGGTGTAGTTGCCGGTGAAGTTGCGCGCCTGGTAGGTGGTCCAGTCGAGCAGCACCAGCCGCGGCTGGAACACGTCCGAGTAGAGCAGGCACGGCACGCCGCGGTCGCACAGACACCGCGGACACTTGTCATCCAGCGCCGCTGCGCGGAACGTGCTGGTAAAGTTGAACAGCAACGTGGTGCTCGGAGGGCAGCCCACGGCCACACGCAGCGGCACTGGAGGACGCCGACGGCACTCGTCACTCCTCTCCCCGCCGCCAGAGCCGCCCTGGATGTCCAGAGAGACGGACACCCAGCGGAGTCCCTCCCCGGGCCGGCGCTGCGTCTGGAGCGCGTCCGGCAGCGGCCGCACGGAGGCGGTGCACCTCTGCCAGCCGTCCGCTGCCGCGTAACAGTCGACCCCGGCCTGCAGCAGTCCGCTCGGCTCAGTGACCAGCCGGGCCGTCAGCCGGCCGGGCACCGTGAACCCGAACTGCAGCTCGTCGCCGCGGTCCAGGTAGACGGCGTGCGGCAGCGCCCGGATACCGGCGCCGTCCCGCTCCGGCACCAACTTCTCGTAGCTGTCCGGCGGGATGTACACGCTGCCAGGCTCGCTGAAGTAGAAGAAGCGGGCGGCGCGGTCCAGCAGCCGCGCCCGCTCGCGCATCCGCTGCATGGGACTGGCCAGGTGGTCGGAGGTGATGTTCTGCTGCTGCTCCCGCTCCAGGAACTCGGTCTGCACGAGCTGCACCAGGTACCGGTAGCCGGCTAGGACGGCCGGCGGCGGCAGGTCGCCCGGCCACCGCTCGGTGACCGCAGGCGGTGGTGAGAGGTGCAGCGGGGGACGCAGTCGGACCCTCTGTAGCCGAGACAGCCGCGTCGCCTGCGTGCGCGAGATGAAGGAGCTAGCCCGCGCGCCCAGACAGGAGAGGTCGAGCGCGGCCAGCGGAGGGTCGGTACCGCTGCCCGGGCCGCCGCCGTCGGGGCCAGTGGCGAAGTTGAAGTTGCGCCGGGAGGCGGCTATGTTGACGGTGCGCGCGGTCTGGACGGTGAGCCGCGGCGCGAGCAGCGGCAGCGGGGCCAGGAACGACACGGCGCCGTCCGCGGTGTCGGCCGGCACGGGCACGGCCTGCAGCAGCAGCTCGGTGGGCCCGGCCGCCGGCGAGTCGCCGCTGACGCTCAGCTCGGGCAGCTCGCGCTGCGCCAGCAGCCGGCGCAGCAGGCGCTGGCGCAGCACCGGCCCGCTGGCGCCGCCGGCCGCCGCGCAGCGCAGCTGCAGCCGCAGCTGGAGCCGGAAGGCGCGCAGGTCGGGCCGCAGCGAGACCAGGCCGGAGATGTTGCCGATCTGTTCTGCCGGCAGCAGCTGGAAGTAGCTGCGCGCAATGCTGAACTCGGTGCCGGAGACGTTGAAGGCGACGGTGCGGTTGGCGGCTGCGCTGGCCGACCCCGTCAATGGTAGCTCGGTACTGGCGTTGGCTGGATGTTCCGGTACGCCATCGACGTTTTCCATCATGAAAATCCAGTCGACCCCAAGAGTCGTTGGTTTAGGGTATTCGTTTGTGTTTAAGTCACTTTCTTCGCTTGTTGCTGTCGTGGGGGAGGGGCTCTCAGTTGTAGTGTTTGCTAAGGTCATTGCTTCGTTCTGTGGGCTGGTCTGGACGTGGTCGGTTTGACTTTGAGTTGATGCGTAAGTCAGTGTGATTTTCTCGCTGTCAAGATCCACTTCTGGCCTGTCGAGTTCCACCTCTGATACCTCGTCTACGACTGATATTTCCCAGTCACATACCGCCTGCTGCTGCAAACACAGACAGCTATTGAGGCAAAAATAAATCCAGCCCAGTACGAGCCATATAGACATTGCGAGTTTCGACTAGTTGCGCGTGTTTCGCGCCCTCTGTGCCCAAAGACAAATTATTCGCACACAAAATTGTTGGTTAGAATTAAATAGGCTTTATATGACTGGAACCTAGATTGGGGCTTCTGCAAAATTTTAAATGCACGTTTCTTGCAAGCAATACCATGCGAATCCAGCACGTGCATTCTTGAATATCGAACCGAACGTGCACAATTCGTGTGGCACTTCTCGCTCGGCCTCGGCACGAGCTCGTTATCTTATGTGTATACAGAGCTGAGTGAATGGCACGGACATGCCGAGACGTTAGGCATGGTATGTGTTACGGATGTGTCGAAAGGGTAAAAAAGGGAGTGTGCGGAGTTCCCACATGTAATCCTACCGTGTCCGCGTAGAGCCCTCGGCCTCAGCGCATTCAGTCCTGATTACTGGAATAGAGCAAACATATCGCCTGAGGTATCACGTCTCCGAGTTGTGTCTTAGATGTTACACTGTCTTCAGGATAGCCCGATCATTGGCGTTAGTTTATGCATATCAGATATCGCGTCTCGCGTCTTCCACCGAACCCGGGCCCGGGATCTGGGGATGGCTGTTTTTCAGTCGAGGTATATGAACTTACCGTTTCTTTTGGAAAGGATCTTGTCGATGACAGCTCTTCGTACTTCGAGTATTATAGTTTATCGTGTGTGATGTGTCGACAGCCTCCTGTCACTTGTGGCAAAGAATTGTTGGATGGTGATGACCGTGACAATCACTTCAAAATCAAAACATCTGTCTTACGTGCATGTGTGCATTTTCGTGGTTTCAGTGTGCTGACCTATTTATTTTCTTCTTAAACTGCGCTGTATGCAATATCAAGTGCATCTTGGTGGACCCGATGTTTCGTAAGACATTGTTTTGGGATTAGTATTATCTCCACGTGTGAGTTGACATTGAAACTCGAACCTTGGAGCTGGTCACCGGTGCCGGCCTGACCGCCCGGACCGGTCGCCGGGTGCGTCTCCGCCTGGCTCCGTCTCGCTCGTGCCGTGCTAAACCCATGTAAACCATCGCCGAGCGGCCCAGCGCCGGGCGGTCGGCCGTCGGACGATCCGGCCCGGTATGTCGGGGGGACGCGTCACGCCGGGTGATGCATCACTGCAGCACAGCTGGTGACGCTGGTGCACCAGTCACGGACTAGCGGAATAAACCCACCCGATGTCGGCCGGACGGACGGGGAGATCGCCGAGGGCGGCTCGCCCAAGGGTGTGAGCCGTGCACTCAGATAATTGTGAATACATTCGATAATTACGGAGATGTTTAGTGACGGCGGACTGGGTCTGATATGGCTGGGCGACCTGCATGTCAGCCGTGACGGCTCTGGTCATCCGAGCTGCCAGTTTCGGGAAGTAGCGATCCCGCAGCGGTAACGTTCGGATAAAGCTGCCGGTTTGTTGAATCATTTGTTATGCTGGCGTGCATTGCTTTGTTCCGAATCACCTGGATTTCATCCAGTCTTCCATCACTTAGTCAAATTGTCTCGTCACATACCGACTGATGCCTGGAACATAGAACACCTCCTACCTCCGCCGTGCGGTCTGCACCAGGGTCCTAAAACTGTGTCCTCACTGATGTGTGTCCTGAACGGACTGACGGAGAATGTTGTAATACCGCCGGTCGGCAGGGGGTCCGAGTATTCGGTACTGCCGACCCAGACACCTCTCACTCTCGGGAGGCCTGGGTGAGTCATTTTTGACGTCGGACGGCTTTGGTGAGTCATTTTTGACGTCTGGACAGCTCTGGTGGGTCGGCGCCTTGGTTCACGGCCGTTCACGGTCACTGGCGGTGTCCGTGTGATGTCTGTGTCAATGTCGGGATGTCGGTGACACCGTGTGTCAGCTGGGCGCGGGTGGGACCGTTACGGCTCTCCGGCGGTCGGACATTCCTGGCGGCACCTCATCCGTCGGCGCCGGACGGAGGACTTGTCACCGCCAACGGGTCTCCCAGAGGCGCAGTTACAGGCCGATTAGCCGAGGACCGGTGCTCAGAATGCGTGCTAAACGGTACATCAGGCATAGGTGGTGTCGGCGTCAGAGATTCGTCATGTGTTTTATATCTTATCGGCATCGGCGGAACTGTGAACAGAGAACCTGCGCCACACTGGTCAGATGTGAGATGAGATGCTGTTTCCGTCTCACGACAATGATGTATGATTTAATAGGTAGAGCAGGATTCTATCTTCTGCTAGCTTGCATAACTCTATTCAAACTGGAAGTCGATGGCGGGTCATTGGGGGCTACACCAACAGCTCCTCCGTCTGTGTATTTTAATGCCCTCGCCAAATCTCCATCTGTCTACCGTTCGCCGCCATCCTCTCGCGTCTTTTCGCTCGTGTCTACCGACCGCCCCACTACCCCCCCCCCCCCTCTTTGTCTCCTCAGCATCGCTGGCGCTCGGAGCCGACCCCGCTGACCCGTCCCGTCTTTCCGCTCCCGTCTTTCACCCGCCCCACTAACCGCTTCCCTCTATCTGTGTCTCCGCAGCACCGTCGGGACTCGGAGCCGACCCCTCTGACCTATCCCGTCTTTCTGCCGGTGTCCGCCGGCCGCCTTACTAACCGCTCCCGTCTCTCTATCTCGGCAGCACCGCCGGGGCTCGGAGCCCACCCTGCTGACCACGGCTCTTTGTTCTCAGCACCGCCGGGGCTCGGAGCCCACCCTGCTGACCACGGCTCTTTATTCTCAGCACCGCCGGGGCTCGGAGCCGACGCCGCTGACCGGTGACGAGGAGTCGGAGGCGGGCAGCTCGGCGGCGCCCCGCTCCGAGAGCAGCAACTGGACCCCAGGAGGTCAGACGGGCCGCCCCAATCAGCGGGTGCCATTTCGGGGATGCTGAGTGTAGACTGTGTGAGGTTGACTGTATCATTGTTTTAGCATATGTTTTTTTTTAATTTTATCGATAGTAAACACTGATCTGATATTCTGAGAACTCGGTGTGTTCATGGAGTGCTGCTTAACTGTGTTCTTGGATGATGAATCAAATAGTGTTATTTTTTAACTGCATGAAATCATTACAACCGGTTGTTAAGAAACGGAACGAAAGCTTTTTAAATCAACTCTGATTTCAATGAAATCATTCCAACGGAAATTTGTATGGGAAATTATGTATCCTTCTGGCGGCGGTCGCATGTTTTTTATCAATGCTGTCCTTTCTCTCTATCGCCAGCAGTAAGTAATTTTTAGAAGTTCCCTTAATTTGCCACCCTCTCACTCCTCTGACTTTCCTCTCTGCCTGTGCCGACCAGAGGCCCTCCCGCTGCGCTGTCCTGCGGAGTCTCCGGATTCCCCCAGCTCCCGGTCCGCTCCGCCCTCAGGCCACCCGCGCGACTTCGGACACCGCTCCACCAGCCGCTCCCGACGGAAGACCTCCGCTTCCTCGGTCCTCCTCAGCGCCGCGCTCAAAGCCAGTCCGCCGCCGTCGCCGCCGCCCGCCCTCTCGCCGCCGACAACTCTGTCTCTGCCGCCGTCGACGCCGTCGACGTTTGTGCTGGGCGCTGCCGACAGTCCGCCCAAACTGGAGAGGGAAATGGGGACGGAGGACGTCGAGGTGGAAATGTCGGAGCTGACGAGCGGGGATAATAGCTACAGCGGAGACCCGGAGAATCCGGTGGGCCAGAAGGGTGATGCTGAAATCCCGTCCGAGGTGGATGTTAGTGACAGAAGGGCTGGTAGTTTGTGCATGGACGACAAGTATGAGGACGAAGACCATATTCTCGGCTTGAGCTCGGATTTTGACATCGAGTCGGAGGGTTTGACCTTAAATTCGACTATTGATATCAAGATGGAAAGTATTGCACAAACACCGCCGATTGAAGAGAATGAAGTCCAGCAAGCTTCCACTAAAAATTACAAAAGGGCGGTGACTGACCCGGCCGAGAGCCTCTCTCCGAAGGTAGAGACTGAAGGTGACATGGACATCGCGAACAACAATATCAAAGCTGAACGAACACGGAACAAAAACACCGAAAGCGCGCCTGGTGGCACGCCAATGGAGGACGAGCCATCGAGGGCTGGCCCAGACAGCATGCTTCCTCCCCTTCCCTGCTCTTCTGAGCCTGGGCGGCCTGGCGCGGACTTAAAGCGGCCCACCGGCAGAATCCTGTACGTGGTCCCGGGCTGGATGTGTCGCGGCGAGTGCCGGCCTCCCGGCAGCTGGGCTCGCGGCAGGGACCGTTCCCGCGGCAGGGGCTGGTCCCGCGGCAGTAGCAGCCGCGGCAGAGGTCAGCCCCACGGCAGTAGCCGCGGCAGGGGACAACCCCCCTACAGTACGAGCAGCGGCAGGGGCCGGCCGAGGAAGTACCCGCTGGTCCCGTGCACCTGCGGCGGCTGCGGCGCAGGCCCGGAGGTCAGGGTGCTGCACGAAGTCCGCCGGCGCGGTCGGCGACCGTCCACGGTAGCCAGGGCCGCCCGACAGGCCGCCCTGGAGACCGCCGTCCTCAGTCCCAAAGGTCCTGTTCCTGGCATCCGGAGTAGTGCGAGAGTGGGTTCCGTAGTGGGGTCTGCAGTAGTCACGAGGGGCGCACAGGTGGGGATGGGAGGAGGGGTATGGGGTGTAGAGCTCGCGTTGGGCATGATAGAGTTTTGCTTTGGTAGTTAGGTTGGGTTCGGTTTTGCTGGAATTTACAAGTTGGCATTGCTTTGCATGCTTTTCTTGGGCTTTATATGAGTTTGCGTTGTTGGTATTACATATACAAACTTCTGCCGACATTAATTGTGCAGACTTAACCCTATTCCTGGCGGGCTCCGCCGGGACAAGAAACTGGCGGGGGGGGCCGATTCGGCCCCCCCCCCTGAGATCTCGAGAACGAAGCAAGATAGCGACAAGCGGTAAACGGCATCGGATACGCACGGCCAAGATCTACAATTTTTACTAAGGTCATTTTCAGGTCAGGTCAAAGATGACGTCACAGGGGTCGAAAAAGTCAAAATGGCGGCGCTAGATATGGAGAGAGTTTTTCTCGAATAACTTTCGAATTAGTCAAGATAGGAACAAACTAAGGGCATCATCGTGATCCTCTCGTCAATCCGCATCGAATGATATATATGTTGACCTCGAAAGGTCAAGGTCAAAGGTTGACCTCAGGTCACGTGACCTCGAGGTCATCATGTATATCATTCGATGCGTCTTGAGCTGAACACAATGAGACCATCCACGCGTCTGTATCTTGTTCCTGTACGGAGTTATTGGCCAAAAACATTTGGTGACCTTTGATGACGTCACATGACCTCACAGCTGCCCAACAGCAAAACAGACCTCAAGGTAGTGAAGGTTAATCGTATACGAAGTCATGTATGGTATATGGGGCCATTCCGACCCGTTTTAGTGGTAAAAACAGGGAGTTGATTTTTCCCCCCATTGACTTATAATGGGGAGGTCGCGAAATTGACCTGACCTTAGGTCACCGATATCAAAATTCCGAGATATACAAATTGCACATACTGGTACCCTTACTAAACCCTGAAGAGAAGAAATTGATCGGTCAAAAACTCTAGCTCTGGCGTGATTGCAAACTTTTCTGAGGTAGGGTCACCAAACCGCCTCTGGTGACCTGACCTGAGGTCAGATCAACTCAAAATTTTCAGACATGTTGCGTAGAAGCCTTTTAGGAAAAGTCAGAAAATTTGAGCTTCCTAGCTCAACGCGTTTGGGAGAAATAACAAAAAAAAACCTCAGGGGGGGGGGGGGGCTCCTGAGCCCCCCCCCCCCGCCAGGAATAGGGTTAACTGTCGATAACTTGTGCATGATTTTTAATGATAGTTAATCAGAATATCGGTGGATCTCCGCGGCTCGCTTTTGTTTTATTTCCTACAACAGATAACATGTGAAAAGTCAATAATATCTGTGCGGTGGACAGAAAGCAAAAAACTTGTGCAATATGAATTTATGATCTACTTGATCACGGAGAGGCAGTGTCAATGTTTAAGCTGCTTGTCATTATCTGTAGTGCAAATATAGTCTAAACAACTGCAAAGACGCCAGAGATGTTATTACTACGTCAGTAGACATGACACGTTCACTTGACCTTTGTGCCACGTTATTCCGAGTATCGGACGTGTGCAAAGTTTCGTTAACACGTTCTTTGCAGATTACCACGGGCCACGGGCCTTGCCAGCCTTCTTTATGACTGCTCTGTTGGTTGGGTTTGTTTTTGCACCAATCTCGGGCCAGCTACCGTGTGTGATATCACTTGCCTGTCTGGTCCCTATCTACTTCCTGTTGTCTCTATCCCGCTGACATGTGTCCGTATCTGTGCCCTCATACTCTCTCTGACCTGTGTCTTTATCTCATTGCCTCCTGTTGCCCGTCCGACCGTCTGAATGGCCTGTCTCTGTAGCCCCCTCCCGTCCCCCTTCCAGCTGCTTCCAGCTGCCCCTTGCTGAGCCCCTGCTGACACCGACTGTCCCTGGCTGGCCTCACACTGACTGAGCCCCGGCTGACACTGACTGTGCCCCGGCTGGCACTGACGAGCCCCGGCTGGCACTGACTGAGGCCCGACTGACACTGACTGAGCCCCGGCTGACACTGACTGAGCCCCGGCTGACACTGACTGAGCCCCGGCTGACACTGACTGAGCCCCGGCTGGCACTGACTGAGCCCGGACTGGCGGTCCGCAGAGCTGGAGGACGCCCTGGAGGAGCTGTTTACGGCCATCGGCACGGCCACCGACCCGGAGGGCCGCCTGCTCTCCACCTGGTTCCAGCTGGTGCCGCACAGAACGGTACGGATCACCCGTCTGTCAGACTGGCTAGTTCCCTGTCTGCAACGGCCTGCCCGTGTGGCAATCTGAGAACGGGATGTTTTTGTCTGATGGTCTCTTGGTTTCTAAAAATTGGTATAAAAAATTGGGGAATATTTGTTTACCTAGCGTTATAATGTCACGGGTAAATTTCCGAATCAATATTTTTATTTGTTATGATTCAAGGACCATTAACCCTTTGTCCTTAAGTTGTAAGCTTCATTGTACAAAAAAAAAAACTCATCTTGAAGGATTGCATCGGCCCCAGCATTGGCTCCATATTCCGTAGCACCTGCGGCATCATCTTGAATCCTAAGATAGCATGTCGTTTTTCTTTTTCTGGTATCTTCTGCTTGCAATAGGAGCAGCTGAGTTTTTTTTTGCGAATAATTTCCAAAGAAAGCCTTGCAGTTTCTCGATCGCCCTGTTTGACTGCATGCCATTGCCTGCCGGTGAGTTTGTAGTGCGTCCTGCGCTTCTGTTTCCTTTTGTGTGCGGTGATTGGTACGAAATACGAATAGTTCACACACACCCAGCCGGTGAACTTAGCCCGGCCCCGGTGGCACTAGTCGGTAGCCTGCAGTGTTTTGTTCCTTTCGGGCCGGCCGGCTGTTTCGTCCGGCACTCCCCGACGTTCCGTTTTGTTGCACCAGTTGCGTTGCCCGGTGTCTGGCGCGGGCGTTTTGTTGCGTTAGTTGCGTTGCCCGGTGTCTGGCTCGGGCGTTTTGTTGCGTTTGATATGTGGCTCCTTGCCTTCTCAGGGCGAGGAGGCAGCTGCGGGTCCCAGTCTTGCCGCCTCGCCCAAACTGCCTGCGTGCCGGTCCGCGGCGGCGGGCTCTCCGCCGACTGACGGCGCCTCAGTGAGCTCACCAGCCCCGCCCGGGCCGCGCGCCCTCCCCGCGCCCTCCCCGCGCCTTACCAGCCCCGCCCGGGCCCCGCGCCCTCCCCGCGCCCTCCCCGCGCCCTCCCAGCACCCTCCCCGGGATCACCCGACTCCCCCACCCAGCCCCGCCCGGGCCTCGCGCCCTCCCCGCGCCCTCCCAGCACCCTCCCCGGGATCACCCCGACTCCCTCGGACCCGCCCCGGTCCGGAGAGAGACCGAGTGTCGGCGGTCGGCTCTGATCTCTGGGGCCAGGTCACGACCAGAGATGTTTTAGGAGATTCTTTTGTCACGGAGACAGACGATCAGTGATCTGATTAGATGGGATTTTATGTTTGATGACGCACTGACGTGGTCCTTCAGAGATGCGTGGTGGTTTTATCTTACGCATCGTATTTCATTTTACATTGCGTGCGTGATCATCATATCCATATCAAGTCTACAATAATCTGAAAGTTTACCGTACTTCCTGGCGATGGGTGTCATGGGATGATTTTTTACATCGTATATCAGTACCTGCCATTGAACTTTAAATCCTAGGCTAGTTCTCCTTATTACACAGCAGTATAACTTGATAATTTTCCGATAATAAGGCGTCGGTGGGCTTATCGTGCGTAGGCGATCAATGCAGTCATATTTCTTCGCAGTGACTGCATAATTGTTAAGCCGACATTCACCTCTCTAAATAAGTTGTCCGATTAAGACGCTTTGCATGTAGTAATTTATCTGTAACGAGGTGTGTGCTACAATTCGCAATCACCGCACATTCTTCATATTGCTGCCGCTTTGGAGTGCAATGGCTGATGCTTGCGTGCGTGGGCTTGCTGAGACGCTTTCACTGACTCGCTGCTCTAGTGCACCTGAACTCTATATTTTTCCACCACCCCCCTCTCGCAGTCGTGGCCGCGCCCCGCGTCTCACCCCGGCTCTCTGGCAATGCCGCAGAAGCTGCCGCAGTACTACGACGTCATCAAGCAGCCGATGGACCTGAAGATGGTAGCGCAGCGTATCCAGGCGTCCGAGTACAGCTCGCTGTCCGAGCTCGAGGCCGACCTGCAGCTGGTCTTCCGCAACGCCTGCACCTTCAACGAGCCCGGCAGCCAGATCTACAAGGACGCCAAGGTGCTGCGCAAACTGGCGCAGACGCGGCGCGCGGAGATCGAGCACGCCCGGCTGACGGCCGCCAAGTCCAGCGAGCGCATCAGGTGAGCCCGGCGGACGGCGGGGATGTTGAGAGGGTAGAAGGGGGTCTGTGAGACGAAAAGCTGATAAAGTTGAGGATGGGTCTGTGGTAACAGGTGATGTGACTTGTAAGTTACTTCCTTTTTGTGTCAATTAATTATTGATGCTCCCACAGCCCTGCAAAGTTGAAAAAGCTATGTTCAAAGTCATAGCAACTGCATTAATTAGCTACATGCCCGTCCCCTGTCTCTGATCCCCTCGCTTACGACTCATTCTCACCCCCCTCGGTCGCGGTCCGTCAGGTCGAAGCGCATTGGCGGCACGGCGTGCCTCTCTGCCGAGCTGTCCCAGCTCACCTATGACGAGGACGAGGAGCGCAGCAGCTCTGACAGCAACATGAGCGAGGACAACCCGCTGTGGCAGCTGTTTGACGCCGTGCGCAGCCACACCACGCCCTCTGGTGAGTAGCGGAGACGGACAGCACGCCATCCAGTGAGCGGGGAGGGCAGTAAATTTACACCACGGCGCCCGGTGGGCCGCGGGGGATGGCATAGGGGCTCGGAACGGGAGCGGGGGGGGGGGGGGGGCAGTAATCCACCACGCCGCCTGGTCAGCGGGAGGGGAAGGGGGAGAAGTTGTAGAAGGTGTTGAGGGTTTGGGGAGCTACACTGCCGCTGCTCGGCTGGCTGCTGAAACTGCTGCACTTCTGCCCTGTTAATGTTTGTGCTTGTTGACGTGGTAACTAAGGTTTGCGTCTGTTTCATAGGTTTCCTGCTGAGTGAGCCGTTCCAGACCCTGCCCTCTCGTCGGCTCTATCCGGACTACTACGAGGAGATTAAAAACCCCATCGCGCTCCGGCAGATCAAGCGTAAAATGAAGGTACGTCCGTCCGACCACCACCGCGGCGTGTGTCATTGTGTCCGTCCGGCACCTCAATGCCGCGCGCGACGGAACAATGCCGTGTAAAGCGTGATCTCGGTACCCTTGTTGATGTAACAAAACTGGGTCAGATGTATCGTGAACATTCGTTGATTAGCAAGAATACGGGATTATTTAATTGTTACCGAGGGCTGATGCCCGCTTGTGGTTGACACTCGGGATATGTGGTTATTTTTGCATGTTGCGTGTTTTCTTATGTCGTCATCGGTTGCATGTTGAGGTCGTGGACAGGTTATTTGGCGTGTTACAATGTTGACCAGACGTCTTACGTGTAGGATATAAGCGAGTGACCTAGAAATGTTCATGGATAAATATTGAGCAGCACTTTTTTTGCCTGCCTATTGACTCTAAGATGGCTGGAGCAAGCCATTATGTCCTTGTTTTAATCACAACACCGTAAGCGATGAATCATCATAGACATAGCCTTGTCAGAAACACCAATGTCTATGCCTGAGTCGCTGTGCGGATTCTGCTGTTTTATTAAAACCAGGACATATCAGTTAACCTAATACTATTAGCGGAAGGATGGCTTTACGTGTCGGCAATCTGGGAAGCCCAGATCAGGGGAGTCTCGTATTGTGTCTCACCTGGCAAATCCGTGGTCGGCAGGACTCGCTGTACTCGGGTATTCAGGAGATGGAGGATGACATGAACCTGATGTTCGAGAACGCCCGGCAGTATAACCCGCCCGACTCCAAGCTCTACAAGGACTCGATCCGGCTGCAGAAAGTGCTGCAGAAAAAGGTGGCGGAGATGTCGGCAGACTTCGACGAGGTGGGTGGCGCACTTCGGTTTCCAGGTAGAGTTTGCTGAAAATTGGTTCATTTACGGATCATGATTTACGGATATGTTCCGACTAAAGGCAGATTATAATTTATCTAGCCAACTCATTTAATTTATAGAACATTGATAAAAAACTACCTTGATGTATCTCCGATGACTTCTGAAGCACTGGCGCTCTAAAGCCACCAATTATCATCACCATAATCCAAACGTCGTTGTCTTCCTAAGCCCGTGTCGTCTTTCTAAGCCTCGTCCCTCGTTTCAGGGCGAGGAGGAGAACTCTGAGGAGGACTCGATGCCCCTGCCGCCGGTGTCCACGCGCAAGGCCAGCCAGCGGCGCGACCACCCAGTGAAAGAGCGCTGCAAACAGCTGTACCGCACCATCCGCGACTATGTCAACGACGAGGGTCGCCAGCTGAGCACCGTGTTCACAGAGCTGCCGAGTAGGAAACTCTACCCGGACTACTACGAAATCATCGACAGTCCGATCGACCTGGCGCGCATCGAGTCCAAGATCCGCGGCGACCAGTACGAGTCCGAGAGCGAGATACTGCAGGACTTCAAGGTGGGTGGAATATACAGGGCAGTGGGAGCGAAATACTGCAGGACTTCAAGTTGGGTGGAATATACGGGACACAAGATGGGCAGGAAGATAGGCAGATAAGCTGAGAGATGGGCCTGAAATGGATTTGAGCGTGTTTGATGACTCATTCGCAGTTATTAACCCTAGAACGCCTAGGGGGGGGGGGTTGTATCAACCCCCCCCCCCTGAGGTTTTTTCGAAGTGCACGCTAAACGGCTTGTCGTAGCGGGCTGAAATTTTCAATACCCTCTGGGGCAGCCTTTGCGCATCTTTTGCCGAAAAAAATTGATCGGGTCATGTCAGGTCACGGAGTTATGACGTCATAAGAGGTACAGCCTCCGGCCGACAGTTACCAAACGTGTGCGCCGAATCCCTAGGTTTTCTGCCGGTGATACCCACATTGTTTGATGGATCATGATGAAACTTCCCATGCATGTTGGGGCAAGCATTGGCTATCGTGTGGTGCAAGAAAATTGACCGGGTCAGGTCAGGTCACGGAGCTATGACGTCACAAGAGGAACAGCGTCCGGTACTATTTTTGAAAAGCGCCCGAACCACTATTTTGCTAATTCTTGTCACCTCAATGGGAATATGCAGCAATATTAGCTTCTATAGGGAGCAAATGGACCTCCCAAATCCAAAAATACAATCAGATTTCAAAAATTTAAATTTTGATTTTTCGAATTTCTGCCGCCGACTGTGACCTTGCCGACTTCCGGCGCTCCCAACGCGCCATTTTTAGAGCTAGGGAAACGAACTACATACCAAACGATAGAGAATTGATCAAGGAACACGATAGTGAAGGTTTCAAGTCGATATCTCCCACCGTTTTGCCGCAATCGCCGCGGAAAGTTGAAAAAGTTTGATTTTTCGGAAAATTTGACCTTTGACCGGTCATAAGTAGGTCAAATGTTGACCTAGGACCAAAAAATATACCACCAATCGCGAGATCTCGTTGAGAGCAATCCGTTGGTTTTTTTCCGCTAAGCTCTACGACCTTCCGTTTCGAAACGCCAGGGGGGGGGGTCGTAACGACCCCCCCCCCTGGTCGTTCGTGTTATGAGAAATGGCCTGGTCGTGCGAGGGTTAACGTGTGGAGATTCATGTCTTAAATGATAACTATGTCCTGGGGAGGGGTATGCAGTTTTCCGAGACCTGCCCGTGCTCAGTGACAGGCGAGAGGAGTGAATATGACGCCAGAGCGACGCTAAACAACGATCGAACAGCTGATAGTGACGGAACCGAGTGTCGCGATTGTCAGTTAGAGCCGAAAGACACGGGTGATTTCATGTTCAACATGACATCACATGCCCATCAAATGTCTGCTCTGAAAAGCTCTGATAAGCCAATCAAAGCAGCTGTCTTTTACGTCTAATTTTCGTAGGTATTTAGCGACAGTTTGGGAATTTTCGTCCTTTTTTACTGCAGTGTTGTATGTTTTCTGTCGTTTTTATACAACCGCCCGATGTAGAGAACAGGATCCTGCCTTAGCTTATCTGTGAGATGGTCTCTGTTTCGGCATTCTGCGTCAATTACCGTTCAGTTCACTATGAGATCCCGGTGCCTATCACCGGGTGTCTCCGCGGCGCCTCATCCGTCTGCCGCCCCTGACACCCGCCTCTGCGTCCGCAGCTCATGTTCAACAACTGCAGGCAGTACAACGAGGAGGGGTCCGTCATCTACGACGACGCCAACGTGCTGGAGCGCGTGCTCATGTCGCGTGTGCGCGAGCTGGGGCCGCTGCCCACACAGGACGGCGCGCGCCACAAGCCGCGTGTACTCAGGTGGGCGCTGACGGGCAGGGGCTGGGAGTGGGCGGCCAGGCCGGGGTGACTGGTGGTCGGTGGACTGTCCGGGTAGCGGATTAATTAAATGGAGCGCACTGTGCTGGATTTATGGACGTATCACGTTACTACAGTTCCATCTTATGTTGTGATCCGCTTTAGGTCAGCTAATTGACAGTGGCTGTCAGTCTAGCTCTGGGTAGATTTGCGTGTGCTATCTTTCCTGCTCAGGGCTCTGGGCAGATTTGAATGCGAGCCCTCCTTCCCTCGTTCTGGGCAGCTTCGGCTGTGATCCCTACCCTTCCCCACGACCTTGCTGAATCTGGCTGGCTCACATGGCGGACGCGCAGCCGGGACGGATTATGGGCAATAATTTACTGTTAAGATGACTAAAGAGGATAGGATCAACCGGGTCAGCGCCTCAGTAGGATTAATCATGAACCCTTTCCTTTGGTCCGATTTAGTTGATTTAGCTATGCTTTCATGAGACGCGGCTGTGTGGCTAAAAATATACAAGAGGCTTGAAGTCAACAATAATCAGAACTGCAGAGCTGCATTTTGCTCTTATTGAACATAACTAATGCTCCAATTAACATGCCCCATCATATGCAATTATACACTGACATTGACGAGGATGTAATAATCTCAAAACGGGAGTCATGAACCGCCGTGCCGTCCACCTGACCGGGCTTGTGTTCACTGACAGCCGCGCCCAGCTGGTGGAGAAGATGTGGACCCTGTTCAACACGATCCGGGACCACAAGGACGCCACCGGCCGGCAGCTGTCGCTTATCTTCGTCAAACTGCCCTCCAAACTGGTCAGTTGTCGCGGATACTGCAACTTTGATACACATTTGAGCTACTGAGCTGTGTGTGTGTGTGTGTTTTTTTTTTTGGGGGGGGGGTCTCGCAGACAATCGAGCAGTTTTTTAACTGTATTTCTTTTCTTTTGATACCGTCATCTTTGAACACGGCAGGAGTACCCGGACTATTTTGAGGTGATCAAGAACCCGATTCATCTGGAGCGGATCTCTCAGAAGCTGAAGACGGGCACGTACAACACGCTGGACGAGATGATGGCTGACCTGGTGCTCATGTTCGACAACGCCTGCAAGTACAACGAGCCCGACTCGCAGGTCTACAAGGTGAGTAGGGAGAGGTGCGGAGGGGGGGGGGCACACAGAGAGACAGGCTGTGGGCTGGGGTAAGTGCACAGAGGCCGGACGGGCACAGAGACGATACGCGCTGAGCCGGGCTGGTCAGTTTTGACAGCTTTGAGCCTACGATGGAACACTTGCCGTTGTTGACACTTGCCACCCAGTCGACTCGTTTCCTATGCTTTAGGTGTTGTGTGTACAAATTTGCCTTTTTGTATTTTGAAGCACTATGGTGGTGTTGCCCCTCTGCCCTAACTATCGTTCAGCCCCCGGTGACTTCACTCTGTGACCGTTGCGCCCCGTTGCAGGACGCGCTCAACCTGCACCGCCTGGCGCTGCAGACCAAGCTGCAGCTCACAGAGGACGTCGAGGAGGTCCCCGACGTCAAGACGCAGATCCAGGTGCGTCTGGTGGGGCATCGTGTGACCTGTATGACCTCAGGGGGTTCTGTGTGACAAAAGGTGCTAGTATATGCCGGTCTCCGGTCGGTAACTGACCGCTATGGTACCGGGCTGGTGGTGAGATAGTGGCTGGTGAGACAGTATCCGTGTCTGAGGAGGCTCATGTGAGCCGTTCAGCCGCTGTGTGCTGACCATGTGTTTCCGTTCTGTCTTTGTCCTCAGGAGCTGCTGACGTCGCTGTTTATCGCCACGTACAACCACCAGGACGCCGACGGACGCTGCTTCTCTGACTCTCTGGCAGAGCTGCCTGAACACGACGAGGTCGAGGGACAGAGGTATAACAACGCTGCGAATGGGCGTCTCATGTTCTGACCCTACGCCCAATGAATAATTGGTTCTGTTGTGACAGAAGGTGCTAGTAGATTCGCGGTCTCCGGTCGATAGCTGACTGCTGACTCTATCTAACCCGACCGCAAATTACCGCGCCCGTAAACCCTACCTTGTCCTTACACCCAACACAGGCCGGCTCATCTCTCCTTACCGTGTGGTCTACCATCTAACCTTGATTATGTTATCTGGCCGCCCATCTAACTTCCACTGCTCCCCTTCTGATGGTCGCCTTGTCGCCTCCCCAGCCGTGTGCGCGGCATCTCGATGGAGATCATCAAGCGCCGGCTGGACCGCGGCCTGTACACGCGGCTGGACGTCTTCCAGGAGGACGTGTTCGCCGTCCTGGACCGCGCGCGCCGCCTCAGCAAGCACGACTCGCAGACGTTCGAGGATGCCTGCGAGATGCAGATGTTCTTCATCTCGTATCGGTGTGTTGAGTTATTGGGGAGAGAGAAAGTGACGTGGGTCGATGGATATGAGGGGCGTGGGGTGAATGAGGGGACGTGGCGCTAGGGCCACCGATGTGATATACAGGTTTCATAGCGGATTGGTATTGACTAGCTAAATGGTAGCATGTTAAGGCGGCTCTCCTTTTTGACATTCAGAAGGACAGGTATGCTCACTGCTCAGCATGGAACGGCACGTAGAACGGCACGTCGGCTCTCCCTGTATGTGTTTACCCCTTGTATAACCTCCCGTTCTTTCTGTCTCCCGCAGTGACGAGCTGTGTCGGAGCGGCACGCTGCTGTGTTGTGTTTACCCCGTGTATAACCTCCCGTTATCGCTGTGCTCCCTCAGTGATGAGCTGTGTCGGAGGGGCACGCTGCTGTGTTGTGTTTACCCTGTGTATAACCTCCCGTTATCTCTCTCCTTCAGTGACGAGCTGTGCCGGAGCGGCACACTGCTCTCGTCGCCAGCTCTATCCTTCTCCCAGGACAACCTGAAGGAGCTCATCGCCCAGCTCAAACCCGAGGTCAAAAACGAGGAGGACGAGAGTCAGGACGCCAAGGTGGGTAACTCGTGCGGCGTGTGTGTGTCTTATTTGTTCGTGGAAATATGCGCATTATTTTTCAGTCACGTATATTCCGTCATCTCGAGTACCCCGCTGACCTCTGGTGCCACCCTCCGCTGACCTTCCTCCTTGTCTTCTTATCCCGCCCTCCACCAGCCGGCGCCGCAGGGGGACGCCATGAGCTTCAACCAGATCCAGTACTGCACCGGCGAGTTCGTCTACGTCGAGCCCAAGGACAAGGGCGTCGAAAAGCACATCGTCAACATCGGTACGTTACCTCGACTCACGTACAGAATGATAAGAACGCCGAATTGTGGGTGCAATGGACGAAGTTGTGGGCCATAGCCATGCTGATTTGGTGGTAGTTATGCGCCCATTGAAAGTTACTTCCAGTGTGATACCTTCCAGATCATGTAATATTTTTGTAGAAGGAGGTATTGCGCTCGCCACTATTGTTTGCAGTGCCCGATCGATTTGCTGAGGGGCTCATAATCCCTCCCTCCCTCCCACTCGCAGAGCGCCTGTGGACCAACAACGAGGGCCAGCAGATGATGTACGGCTGCTGGTTCTTCCGGCCCGAGGAGACGTTCCACCTGCACACGCGCAAATTCCTCGAGAAGGAGGTGTTCAAGTCGGATCAGCACATCGGCTGCCCGCTCAGCCAGATCGTCGGCAAGTGCGCCGTCATGTCTGTCAAGGACTACTTCCGACTGCAGCCGGAGGGGTACGCGGAGCAGGACGTGTACGTCTGCGAGTCACGCTACTCCAGCAAGTCCAAGACGTTCAAAAAGATCAAGGTGAGATGTTTAGAGCTGGAATCGCTATGGACGATGGATTATTTTCTTCTTCTTTTTATTTGATAAAGGTATTCGGGCATTGTATAATCAAATCTACGAAAATGTGGTTCCGCACATTTACTCTTTCTGTTCCACCGGGGCCATCAATTTCTTCCTTCCGTCTTCATCTTGCATGAACACCCACACTTAATCTCACCCGGCGCGCTACGCTCCCCTCCGCCAGATGTACCCGTTCTCTGCGCCGCCTGAGACTCTGCGCGAGCGGGAGGTCCCTCTCGAGCCGCGACGCGTCATGTCCGTCTTCAAGAAGCGCGTGGAGAAACACAAAGAGGAGCTGGCGGAGCTGGAGGAGTGCGAGATGAAGATCCGCACGCGGGAGGTGCCGGTACGTAATTCGAGGGGTCTTGGGAGTTGGTGGGATGTGTGCGAAGTTTAGATGAGCGGGGTGAGTTGTAGTAAAGGTTTGTGTAATCGGGTCCTAGGATAAGTACGCTTAATTGTGATGCGAGTGTGACTTATATACAGTAATGTTGTAACAAACTGGTCTATTAGTGTGTAGCTTCGCGATAAAGGTGGTAGGTGGTCTCCTCTCACAGTCGTCGGAAATTGTATGTTCTACTGGGCTGTTTCCTGTTTACCCATAGTTCGCTCCTTGACCGCCCCCCCCCCCCCCCCCCACGCCGTCCTCTAGAACGTCGAGATCGACAACCGGAGCGCGATGGACGGCAACACGTACTACGAGCAGCTGAACACGGGCATGCTGGTGCTGAAGACGGGTGACTGCGTGTACGTCAAGTCGGAGCACAGCAAGCAGGTCATCGCGCAGGTGGACACCATGTGGACCACGCCAGAGTGAGTGGAGTGGAGCGGCGTGGAACGGGACTTGACACGTCGAGTAGGGGATGAGGGGTTGTCACGGCTTGTAATTTGTTGCTTGGCGACTTTACTGTTAATATCCCTGTATGTTTTCAAATTTATAAACTGGGCATTCTTAATGCAAAATAATGTTTCACCATGACGAAAGATACCAGTATGATCTATTGTACAGTACTAACATCCTTTCCAAGTTTTCAACCCTCCCGTGACCTCCGGCCCTTCTGTGACTCCTAATCCCCGCTATGATCCCTGACCTCCTGGTCTCTGACCCCCTGTCGTCACCCCTGAACCCTGGTCTCTGACCCCTGCCGTGTCCCGTTCCCAGCCCGGCTCGCCGTACTTCCACGGTCCAACGTACAGTCCTCAGCAGACTGCGTGGTAGGTATTCTTTTTTCGACAAAACCAGTAATAACTCAAAGACTATGTTGTCAGTCGGTCGGAACTCACTGAAAATAGAGGCGCCATGCTCTACTCCTTCGATTGGGTATATCACTAAACAAAGTATATGCCTTGTGTGGCAACAAAATGCAAAAGTTTGTTTTGGGGGCAAATATAAACTTTCGGGTTTTGTTGCCAAACTGGGTAGAAAATGAATGCGATGGTAATGCCAATCTAAGGTGCGAAGTCTCGCGCATCTTGCTGTTATGATTTCCGAGCAACCGATAGCATAGTATCCGCGTTATTCTCGGTTTTGTCGATGAAAGAATACCTACCACGCAGTTGGCAGAGGGCTGTACATGACCGGGCTGACCCTGCCGTGGTCCCCAGCTCCTGATACCTGGTCTCTGACACCAACTACCGTGACCCCGCCTCTGACCGGTATCGAACCCCGTCTCCAGCGGCTCTCAGTACTTCCACGGTCCGACGTACATGACGTCTGCCGAGATCGCCTCCTCGGTGCAGCAGATGTTTTACAAACAGGAGGTGTTCGTCTCACTGCTGGAGGACACACACCCCATGGCGTTCGTCACCGGGAAGTGCTGCGTGCTCGACTACACCGACTACTGCTCTCGTGAGTCATACGATGAGATGAGAGAAGGGAGTGGGCTAGGGGATGATATTGATCATGCTAGTTTATTGAGGGAAACTGTGATGAATGTCGGTGAAATGCCGGAATTTTGAGCATCTATTATGCTTGCCGTATAAGTTCTGTCATTACACACCCAGCACAGATATGTGCTCATTTGAGCAATGCCTTTTTGCTTCAGACCGAAATAATTCATTGAGAGATGTATGTAGCTAATTAAGAAGACGCTTTAACTTTACTCACAACTCACAGGCGAGTCTTTTCAATTTTTCGCTGGCCTCCACCGCGGCAGCGGCGCCCCCTGACACCCCCCCCCCCCCGTCCACAGGCCGTCCCACCGAGATCCCTGAGGCGGACGTGTACGTCTGTGAGAACCTGTTTGACGAGTCCAAGCGTCAGATCGTGCCGCGCGGCGGCGACCCCAAGCGCTACGTGCACTCGGAGGCCGTCCTGGAGGACGAGGTGTACCACTTCCGGCGGCTGCTGGTGCTGCGCAAACAGCCGCTGGCCACCATCCAACAGGAGGCCTCCGAGCGCATCAAGTCGCTCTTCGCTGAGGCCGTCGGGGTGCGTGAAGGAGGGCGCATCGGGGGGGGGGGGGGGCTAGAGAGATAAGAGGCGCAGTTGAGGAACTCAGAAGTATGTTTCATGTTTGTGATCGTGTTTAGAGCTAGAGTTAAGCTGACAGTTGACTCCGTCGCAATCCCTATTCGCGACGACCCCACCGCGGATATCAGACCGTCTGAATCGGACTTCATCCTCCTCTTTTAACGGACCATTCCCGCACCCAACAGGTATCCTCTCCGGCCGGCAGTAAGGTCGGGGACGAGGACTGGACGGTTCGCCACCCTTCTGACCTTCCCTTATCTCTCACAGGTATCCTCTCCGGCCGGCAGTAAGGTCGGGGACGAGGATTCTCTGAACGGTCCTCCAGCCTCTCTAACCGTTCCATGTCTCCTGCAGGTATCCTCCCCAGCCGGCAGTAAGGTCGGGGACGAGGACTCTCTGAACAGCCCCACCCTTAGTTCTGACCCTATCTGATTGCCCCCTGTGCCCACAGGTATCCTCTCCGGCCGGCAGTAAGGTCGGGGACGAGGACTCCCTGGACGGCCCGCCAGCGTCGGTGGGGTCGGCCGATAATGCCTCAGTCGGCACACCAGTCAGCAGCTACAAAAAGGTACGAGCCGGCGAGGCCGGATCCAAGGATAAAGACGTTTTGAGTGTTGTCATATGATTCAGGAGTGTGTGTAACTTATTATTGGCTTGGGGTGTCTGTTGATGTGAGGCTGGGACTGGGTTGAGATTTGGACCAACAAGCGACATTATTGTGGCGTTATGCAATGTGCATTGTGCAATGTTCTCTATATGCGCATCAGCCCGCTTCTCACCGTTTTCTAACCTTTTTACGCACAGAGTAAGCGTCTGAAGATTCTGACGGGCTACATCCTGTACTCTGCCGACATCAGGAAGAAGATCACCTCCAATAACCCGTCGGCCAACTTTGGTGACATCAGTCGGCTTGTGGGCACAGAGGTGAGGACGCGGGACGGACAGGACAGTGGTTGCCGGGCAGGAGGGACTTGGCAGAACGGGAAGGGACAGGGCGACGGGAAGGAATCCAGTCTGTCAAACCATGGGGAAGGGGCCGGGACATTGAAGGGGCGGCGCAGGTTGAACTGATGGGCGTGCGTGGCTCACCATTTAGCAGCAACTGTGAGGCAGTGACCTGGGTGCTTTCTTTGGCTTATTGGAGCCGGTCAGATGATGTGTGTCGCAGTTACGGGATGCTCCGCACAGACAGTCTATTTACGTCTGTGCTCAGTCGGGTATCTATCCGTTTAAGCCTCTTCAACAATTTAATAGGTTGAGTACCAAATTATATATGTCAAATTATCGTTACAATGATGTATTTCATACCGCAGTAGACATATCAAAGCCACATGTAATTATTCAATCGACGATAGTTTAGCTCAGGAAGCGGATAAGCAACGTTTATTGTTGAATGTTGTGTGCCGTTGCTTTGCTCAAAACTGGGCAATCCAATGTGACATTTGCTGATACATCTGTTGTGCCAATCGGTAGGCGAATCTGGACACTGAAAAGATGGTAAGGCGCCGGTACGGTCCGGCCAGCTGGCCGAATTTTACTCTCTCGGCGATGCCTTTTGATGGTTTTGCACCCGTCTCGACCAGCTACAGTTCCGGCTTGTTTTGCCCAGTTTTGTTGCTTTTACTATTGTTTTATTTTATGCGATCCTAATGCGCGTTGTCATACGATTCAGTAACTAATGTTGGCATGTTCTGAGTGTTTGTGTAAATGTTTGCTGAGGCATGTTCAAGATTTTGTATTTACCGTTTTGTGACACTAATCTGTCTTATGTGCTGTGCGACAGCCTGCTGAACAAAATGGCGTATCGAGAGTTCCTGCATATGCCCGTTTCTATTGTTTTATGATTGACCTTTAGTTTCGTCATTGCTGTCATTTTGTCTGTGAAACTGTGTCTGATGTTTGTGTGAATCCTCAGCACGTAGATCCCCCATTGATGACCGATCGACAGCTCAGGCCGTGCTGCTAGCCACCTGTCGAGCTTTCCATTTTCATGTCTCGCTTCCTGTGTTTTGCAGCATTGACGCTACCTTATTGATCTGTTTCTTAACCACATAAATTACAAATGCAAGCACAAAGATTCGCGTTTGCTGGTAAACTTAGAGTGAATCAATGGAATTAGGGTCGACGCATTAAGTGTCGTTATTGATGTGTTATCCAACTGACGTTTTCCCGTTGTCCTTTTTATACATTGGCTTTTACTAGTTCATCCCGCAGCGGCTCGTAACGACCTTAGTTTCTCTCCTGAACCTCCACACCCGCCGTACCCGTCACGGCGTCACACCACCCTCTCTCCTCTACTGCTAAATAATATCACTGAGAAACCTCCTCACCTCTAACCGCCCCCTTCCACCCTCAGTGGAAGAACCTCTCGGCGGCCGAGAAGGCCTCCTACGAGGAGCGCGCGGCGCGCATGAACGCCGACTCTGTGGCCAGTCTGCGAGTGGAGATGGCGGACACGCCAAGCCGCGCCGTGCTGGGCGCCAGCCTGGTCGGGCCCGACGTGGTGTACGACTGCTGCTGGCTCGGCTGCGACTTCCAGTACGAGGACATGAGCGAGCTGATCGACCACTGCAACGCCGAGCCGGGCGGACACGTGCCCGTCTACGCCGCCACCGTCTGTGAGAAGAACGTCTGGGGACTGGAGGATGCTGGGGTTGGTGGGAGACATAAGAGGACGATAGTATTGGTGAAGCCAATGTCTGGGTCTTAGATATTGAAGGTTTTTGAAGGGTGTGGGTGGACTTCCAGAGTGCATTGTATTGTTGAAATTGCGTACATTTAGATTATCCTCGTAGAATTTACTAACTTGTTTTTAGCCGATCACGAAGTCCTTAGACCACTTTGTGTATTCAGCGCGCGCTGCCCTGTATCTATGCTTTTGCTTATCACGTCTCCGTACTCCGCCTATCCCCGTATTCACCCCTGAACCACTCCCCATCCCTGAACCCCTCCCCATCCGCAGCTGACGAATACCAGTGCCAGTGGCGCGGCTGTCCCCGTATTCACTCCTGAACCCCTCCCCGTCCACAGCTGACGAGTACCAGTGCCAGTGGCGCGGCTGTAATCGCATCAAGAAGGGCTCCACGCCGTTCCCGAACGCCGGCCGGCTGATGCGACACGTCAAGGAGGTGCACATTCAGAAGAACAACGGCAGGGTGGTGGCGCCGCACGAGCGCGGCAGGTCAGTTCGGCGGGCGACAGGGGTGGGCTCAGTTGGGTGGGCGATGCGGGAGGGGACGGGGATGGGGGTTGGGTGGGGATGGGGAGAGAAAAGGGACTAGGTCAGTTGAACGGGGAAGGAAGCTTATGGAGGATAGGTATAGGGTGGGATGGACGAGATTCAGATATGGTAAATGTATTCGTGTATTCGCGTTCGCTCGTCGTTGGGTCCCTAATTGAGAGCTGTTTGTGATGAGTTACCTGTTACGGTGATCTCCGACGACCAGCCAGGTGATTGATGCTATCGTGAATAGCACACAATCACACGTATGAATATTACAGTCACTCACCCCCAGATCATGTCCCCCAGCTCCCACCCGCTGAATCGCGTCCCTCCTCTCGCCAGGAACTTTGTGCCGCGCCGCGGCAGCGCGGCGGCCGGCGCCGCTGCCGGCCAGGGCGGCGCCGTCCGCCAGCACGGCCCCGGCTCGGGCGTGTCCACTCCGACGAGCAGTACGGGCGCACCGGAGCCGCGCTTCGTGGCGGCTCCGGCCCGGCCGCAGCGGCTCCTCCACTCGGAGGCCTACATCAGGTGCGCAGCTGGCGAGATGAGGATGAGAGACTGAATATGTTGCCAGTCTGTTGGAGCGGGGTGTTACTAAGTCTGTTGTTGATAGTGTATTTCTACTCTTTGATGTGTAGCGAGGTGGTCGGTGGGGTGCGATTCACAATTCGTTGCCTCACACAGGAATTGTGACTGGTGAATACATACCTATTATATATGCTGTTTCGTTGGCTGCCTTTACAGTTAGAGGGGCCACAAACCTTACTTTAGTCCCGTGAGTTGTCTTGTATTCCCGGCCGTCACTCTTTGGTTAGCTTGATTTCTCTTCACGCGCCAGCATTCCCAAATGTCACCCCGCTCACCGCCTCCCTTTCCCCTCGTTCAGGTACATTGAGACGCTGCAGCCGGAGCGGGCGTCGGTGCCTCAGCAGCAGGGCGGCTGGGAGCGCCAGCTGCACGCCACGCCCGAAACCACGCCGGTACCCGACACGGCCCGGCTGCCCACCCACTGGCTGGCCGACGGACTGGCCGACAGCACATCCGTGGTCAAGACGCTCTGGCACCTCCGCGACTACCTGATGAAGGATGCGCTGGGAATATCGCGCGCCTACGAGGGACGCCTCTGAGCAGCCGCTGAGCGGGGAGAGGGGCAGAGGGCTCGTGGGGAGCGAGAGACAAGGAAGTGGACTCGGAGTAAAGAGTGGGAGAAAAGTAGAATGACAGATGGATAGACCTGGAGAGACTTTTAAGAAGCTCTGGAGGTTGGAGTTTAAGTTAGCGACCCTTCTATCAAAACTCGAGCGCCGATCATCATGCGATGCGTTGTGAAGCAGAACTCACGTTGACGCGCTGATCATGTCTGGATAAAATCTGTTCCAACACGGAGCTCATTACGTGAGTCGTGATCCCGTCCGCTGACATCTGGTGATTTCGGTGGTTGGCTGGGTCCGCGGTGAGCGCTCCCTCTCCGGTCCTCTGCTTACAGTGTCGCCGTTCTGCACCACTCTGTGTGCAGATCGTCGGCGTGCCTCTGATCTCTGAACTGTATGCGTGCCGTGTGTGTCGTGAGTGGTGTTCGTCTAAGAGTGTCTGTCAGGAGCCTTGGGCTTCCGTCGTCCGGGGTTTGGTCTGTTACCGTCTGTCTAAACCAGCACCGCTTTGCTGAGGCGTCCTCCGGGAAGGTCAGTGGATTCAGCCGTCCCGAGTACGAATGATGCGAGTCGTGGGGCACGCTCTGTGCCGTGGTGTGTGTCTGTCTGTGTATCGTGGGCCCTCGTATTCTCGCTGTTCACCGTGGACAGAGCTGCGCGGTGGACTGTCCACTGTGGACGTTAGGACGGAGATCCTTGGACCCGATGGTGGCGGACTAAGGTAGCTCTGATGGCGGCCAGTGACGCCCAATGGGGAACCCTGGGACCCTATGACGTCGTCTGTGACGCCCTCGGGCATTCTGCTCCTGTCACGCCGCGAGTGAGCCGCGTCGCCCGGGGTTCTTTTTCACGTGTTCCGTCTCAAAGTTGTGACGTACAAACGGCGGCACGCTCCCGCCATCCTCTTACATGTTCGCGCCAAAAGCAATACACACACGCATTCTCGTTTCTCCCCTGTCTTATTTGGTGCACGAACTCGTGGGGAGCGGGACAGACGAACGCTCGGCGCTTGGCGGCGTCCGCAGCAGACTAGTTCAACCTCCCGCCGACAGATGGCAGGGGCGCGCACTGAGCTCCCGGCCTCTGACGATATGTAAATCGCTGGACAAACCGCTCCCATTGACGGCCTGAGGTACGCGACGGTGTGCACAAGGCATAACGATTACATGATCATGCATATAAATTATATCAAGCGCGATCGTCTGCGGTTAACAAACAGCGTGAACTGGCGTGTCACCTATCACCTATCTCTAACACGTGTGACTGATCACACGCCAGTGCGCCGGTCACACAACTGAACACGGGCCGCGGGCGCAGTCTCAGCCCACCAGTACACGCACAACTATCACAGGCGGTGGGGCAAAGAGGCGTGCTCGCAATAGGACCTCCCTTTCATGGAATTACTGAAACAACGCCGCGTGGTAGCCCAGCGCTCACAAATACACGACTCTTCATATCCTCCGATGAAACGTTCACTCGTCATTGTCTCAATACTCTATGGAGACAGGCTGTCTTGTCGTGACGCTGTCTCGACGCTGTTTTGTCTCGATGTCAGCGGAGCTCTGAGCTCCGCTGAACCAGTAGGCCACGTTCAGCGCTGAACCAGAACGTGGCCTACTGGTTCGAACCAGTAAGCCACGTTCTGGCTTTTCGGCTCTCATCTCACAGCTTTTCCACGTAATTACCGGGGAACAGCGCCTGTTTGCCGTTAAAGATCCCTCGCCACCAGCCCGACGCGTCTGAAACAAGAGAAAACCGGTCAATAATAGACAATCGAAGCAAGTAGCTACCAATGAGCCCTGATATGGACAACGGCAATTCGGAGAAGGCATGGCTCGTACCGTACGTGCGTAATAAGGAGTGAATCCAGTCACGCTTAAGATGCATCATAAACGAATCCACTCCTGAACGATTGATTCATTCGTTACTCATTTACGGTCATAAATGACTACATGTTCATGCTGGAAACCTACCTTCATGTACAAGTTCTAGTATGTCACCTTCTTCAAAACTCAGCTCGTCCACGTCTTGCGCGTCGTATCTGCAAAAGAGCAAAACATTCAGATGCGGCGGATAAGCCGATGACATTTGGCATGTTAAAATCACGGTGTTTTCTGTGTAGAACTGTGATGTCCATCACGGAACTAAAGGTCGAGCGTAAATAGCCCCGCTGCTGACACGGACCTGAACTCCAGCAAAGGTCATGAATCAGCTTCGGGTTGGCCTTAAAACGTGCCTAAAATGGCAGCTCAGAACATTTGTAACGTAAGATACAATCAAACCCGTAAACCCTGTAAACCTTCTACACTCCTTCATTTATGTATCAATTGCGATTGGACTTACTTGTACAGTGCCTTGCACTTGGGGTACTTGGGTTGTCGCGGCTTGGGCGCCGGTTTGGGCCGCCCCTCTCCCGGCAGCGGTTTGAAGTCGGGCTGACCGACGCTGGCCCGCTTCGCACTGTGGCACGGAGAGAGAGGTCAGAGGACGGTGCTGTGACGGGCGGGGGGAGGTCAGGGGGCGGCGCTGTGACGGACGGGGGGAGGTCAGAGGGCGGCACCGGACACGGGACAGAAATCCTGACACCACGGACACTGCGCCACGGACAGGCAGTGGACGGACAGGACACGGTCAGACGGGCGGCGATGTGGCACACAAACACGGAGTTCCAGGTGTTAGCGACACTGTGGCGAAGACCGAAAAGCGTCACAAAGCCTGGACGGGAGTATGTAACCTCAGACATTGCGTCAGTTCCTGGCAGCAGCGTGTAAGTCAAGATCCCCATGATGAATTACACCATGTCACACGAGCACATTAACACGAAAATGAAGGATATTCTGAACAACACGGATAAAGAGAGCGTTGACCGTATATGTACACCATGATTCCGGTAAACCTCAGAAATCCAAAGCCCATCCTCCTGGTGCAATACACCTCGTTGGATATAAGTCGTTATTACCGTTATTACACATTCCTATTTAAGCGACATAGAAGCAGCTTACCTGACCACTAACACCAGTAAGAACACTCGTCACTTTCCGGCTCCCTCTCCTGCCTCCTTCCACGGCCCCTCCCACCCAGCTGAGTGTACCTACCACCACCTCCCGGCGCCCCACTCACCCGGCTGAGTGTACCACCACCTCCCGGCACCCCACTCACCCGGCTGAGTGTACCACCACCTCCCGGCACCCCACTCACCCGGCTGAGTGTACCACCACCTCCCGGCACCCCACTCACCCGGGTGGTGTACCACCACTCCCTCACGGCGCCCCACTCACCCGGGTGGTGAACCACCACCTCCCGGCGCCCCACTCACCCAGCTCAGTGTACCACCACCACCTCCCGGCGCCCCACTCACCCGGGTGGTGCACCACCACCTCCCGGCACCCCACTCACCTAGCTCAGTGTACCACCACTAGCTCCCGGCGCCCCACTCACCCGGGTGGTGCACCACTGTAACAAATTAAAATGTTCGCCGTGGAGTCTTCTGATAAAAGAGTTCAGTTCGGTACCTCACTGTATTTCTTGACTCGAGACAGACGAGAGATATAGTCAGTCCAGGAGAGTGACCGAGAGCAAGAGAGACTGAGTCACATAGCGAGTGACCGAGCGCGAATCGTCGGTGGGCTGCCGAGACTCGGCAGAGACTGCGCAAGACTAAGACCGACCGCGACTGAGACCGAGACCGAGACCGAGACTAGACTGACGAAGACTGATCACCCGGCGGCGGCCGGCGCAGTCGTCGACTACGAGTAGAGGTCGCCTCGGTCGTACAAGCTCTGACATATGGCCTACAGCGGCTGACACTGTTACAACCACCACCACTTCCCGGCGCCCCACTCACCCGGCTGAGTGTACCTACCACCACTTCCCGGCGCCCCACTCACCCGGCTGAGTGTACCTACCACCACCTCCCGGCACCCCACTCACCCGGCTGAGTGTACCTACCACCACCTCCCGGCACCCCACTCACCCGGCTGAGTGTACCTACCACCACCTCCCGGCACCCCACTCACCCGGGTGAGTGTACCTACCACCACCTCCCGGCACCCCACTCACCCGGGTGGTGCACCACCTCCCTCCCGGCGCCCCACTCACCCGGGTGGTGAACCACCACTACCCGTCACCCCACTCACCCGGCCACACCGGCGTCCGGCGTCCTCAGGTAGCTGTCGTCGCCGGGCGCCCTCCTGGGCTGCGGCACCGCGTGGCCCGGCTGCGGCAGTTTGCCGGAGGCGGGCCGGGCGCGCCGCGAGCCGCGCCGCGTCGCCCGCGGGCTGACGGCGCGCGCCGGGCCCGTCGGGATGGCGTACGTGGTGGCGGCGGTGACGCGCGGCTGGCCCGGCGGCGCCGGACCGCTGGGCGGCGGCGGCGCCACCTGGCGCACCGACGGCCGGTGGCTGAGCCCGGACCGGCCCGGCGCCGCGCGCGACGCGCCCTTGCCGCCCGGTGGACGCTTGGTGGTGCGCCGCTCCGCCGACGGCCCTGCAGAGAAGAGGGGACCTCTGATTGGGGGCTTATCGGTGGGGAACTGTCGTAACAGTGTATAGCACTACACATGGGTCGTAAGTTTGGAATAGCATAGTTACGTCTGTTATGTAGGCATAGTTAGTGTTACGCATAACAGCTCATTTGGACATCACACGAATAGCAATTAATGCGACCTCCAACGAATCTGCCAAGTTTCTGGCTAAGGTGTAGGCACTAGGCACCGTGAATAAGCGCTATATTGCCCCGAGGCCGAACTAACAGTACCATGATGTCTGGCGCATATATATCTCGACAAATATCTCGGAAAAATCACCTCTTAGATGAGTAACTATGACGCCACGTCTGCGTGGCATATTTTCAAGGTACACAGAACACAGTCTCATGGTGTGGGTGAATAAGACAGTAGGCCTTGAAGTCACTTTCCGACTACGGCAGTTGAAAATCACTGCCATAAATTAGATCTGCAATGAACAATCTTTAGTAAAATGTCCGCAGAAAAAGAGTCCACAGTGATTTAAAGGCAAGAAAATCTATTCACACAAATATGTTGTATCCCAGTCCCCAGCACGACCATGCAGTCTTTGTCACCAGTCGCACAAGCCGAAAACTCACGCGAGTTTTTGTCGAGTCCTGCTCCGATGGTGACGGTCAGTGTCTTGCCCGACGCCTTGGTGACGGCTAGGTCACCCTGGCCACGCTCAAAGTGAATGTGGCGCGTGCCGCCGCCACCCCAGCCCTCCTTCTTCACCTTCATCTCCAGCCTGAGGAACGACAGGACGGTGAGGGTGCGGGTGCGGGTGCGCGGGGATAAGGAGTGAGGCTGTTGGGAGTCCTCACTCAAGCTCTAATTGTGGTGACATTGTATGGTCTCAAATTTCTATTTGGTTCTTGGTTCGTTCCGAATTATTTTCCGGTGAAAATGGTTGACACTTGATGCGGTTTCCTTTCGAAAAGATTCAAAAATGACCGCTTACCGGAACGGTTGAGGCTTATGCATCAATTGTAGCGAAGCAATGATGTGAACGCAAAACATTATACACTAAACCACTACCTGCACATGTCAAGGAATGTAACTATCGCCCTCACCTTGTGTCAAAGTTTAGGACGACGTTGGCTCCGATGGTTTCGTCACACTTTTTCTTCAGCACGGCGAGGAACTCTGTTTTGAAGTTGAGCGTCAGGAGACTGTCGTACTGGTTCCTGACGTGAAGAACGAGAAAGTCGTCCTGAAAGGCAGCACGAGGACGTTACCGAGGACGCTGAGCTGACGGAGGGGCTCGGAGGCTGCAGGGCGAATGCGGGGAGTGGACGGAGGCGTAGCATCAGCGGTATTTCGTTACGAGAGGAGCCACTTATGAGCTGACCGATGCTTTCACGGTCAATATCAAATCTCAATATAGTCAGTCGCCCGGACGGTCAGGCGTCGTCCGGTACATCAATAAAACAAATATTACACATG